CCCGGCTGTCCCCTGGGAAAACGAGGATACTCGGATGTCGCCTCTGAGGCGCACGGCATATTGCAAACATCATCGAATGCAATAGATCAAGGATGAGCAACCCACGGCTTGTAGGCTTCTTGCGGGCCTTTAAATATGTTTCTGCGGTTCGCCGACTATTTCCAAAGTAGAATTTTATTTATTTCATCAACTTTATTCCATGAATAAATTAATTATAATGTAATCTTTTCTTGTTGCAATAATTTATTTGAAACAAGAAAATTTCATCAAAAGATAGAGAGACATATAAAAATCGATATAATAGTAATTAACGTACTGCAGAAAATAAATTTAGATATTTTGTAAATGTATGTTCTTCAAAGTCCACAAATTTATATCTAACAAATTGCATAACATGCACAATAATATCATGTTTACAGCAGATACGTTTTTGTCAAAATTCAGCACCAAGTTGCTGGTAGATTGTTTTGAATCAGTGCCGGATTGTAAGGGTTAATACATTTGTAAATCACTGTATGTATATATTTTAAATATTTGGCTACATATCACAAGAGTTTTACAGCTAGGCCAACAATAAATATTTCATATGTTTTTTAACCCCTTAACTTACGATTTAGGGGGCGTCCATTAATCACATGGGGTTTGACAAAAAATCACGAAATATCACGTGGAGGAAAGAACATAGTAAGATAGTAAGATATCACGTGTATTTATATTTTAGCTGAATTTGTTATAAAAATCCAAACATTTTCAAATTTTTTTTTTTTTAAAATACAATTTGTTTCGTATCTAAAAATACACGTGATATTTGCTGGGGGAGGGGGGTAATTTTAAAAATCACCAGGTATCACCAACCATCAAAAATCCTTAAAAAATCGATCACGCGATTAATGGACGCCCCATATAGATTCGAAAATGTTGGGCCAAAGTTGTAAGCTGGAGAAGCGTTCGTGACTATTTTCTCTCACAGTGTACAGTTTATCACAGATAAAAATAATTTTATATATATAGTTGTTGTTATTAGTTTTATATATATAGTTTTATAGTATCGTATAAACAAATATTTTGTAATAATTCCAATTACCGTGCCGGGCCATGCCTGTAATACGTAATACATATTAGCTTCTGGCCCAATTGTCGTACGCGCGCTCTGCTCGTCATTGTAAGTTAAGGGGTTAACTAAGAAAACTATTAATAGAAAAATTATATTTATTAATATTATTTTGTTTACTTACATTACCTGATAGTGACAGCTTCGTGTTTGTATGGCAGTCCGTCGAAACTTCCCAAGAAAAAAATTCAACCAGTGCCGATGCATATGACGTACATTAATCCTAATGAAAGTTTCCTGACGCCGGTAAGTTATTCCACTTTTTATATTATTCTAATCACATGAACATTTTCACATTTACACTAATAGTAAGAATGTACTTCAATTATATGCATAACAATGTTTACTTTCAGCAATTGAAACTATAAATATATTGATATCTCGAAAATAATAGCTTAGAAATTTCGCCACAGTAATGACAGTTATTAGTTGAATGTACTTTTGGCGCAATATTTGGCTTTTAAATACCAATTTTAATATTTGCTTACATTTTAATATTTATGTTATGCGTTAATTTCAATATCAAACACAGTATGAGTTGAGAAAAATAAAAACGGTAGCAGATGATCACACATTCTATATTACTTTATATACCCACAAAAAATTAACAAAAGCCATCCGACAAATTCTTCAGCACGTATTTACTTATCACTTGATGTTAACTGATTGCATGCTGCTTTAAAATTGTTATCAAAATTTATAAAATAGTGTTGCCATATCTGATAAAAGGTAAACTTGCAATCTGAAATTGAAACACTAACGGTTATTTATTTTCTACTTAAATTTTTTAAAATATAAGTAAATATTATTATTTTATTATATTTGAATAAACTTCCATATCTGTATAGCTATAACCACAATTCGGCCTAATAGTAAATAAGTTTTGATCAATATCTGTTTCGAACTACATTTTAGATGTATGAAAACCAAAATGATCCTATCCAATTAACAATTTTTCTTGAAAACACACCTCAACGATTCTAGAAGTTTCTGTTTATTTTTATTGGATCAAAAAAATATGTTTTAATTCCATAAATACATTGTCATTTGTCACATTTGTCAACTGTCTTCATCCAGGCAATTATCTTAATTTTGAAAAACTCGAAAAACTAATTATTCAATTTAAACTATTATTTAAATCATACAGATAATGATTTTACTCAAAGAAAGAATAATAGTGAACTATTTATGTAATATAATATATGAAAAAAAAAATCACTCTTGAATAAAATAGTATTTGAAAGACCACCAATAATCACATATCTCACATCAGTCGGTACTTTCAAATAAAGTAATATATTCTTCAATGTGGTAAAGAGATACTAAACTTTTTTCATCTTATTTTACAGCGAATTAATTCAGCAAATTCAAAAACAATCAATAGTTCAATCGATCCTCTGCCATCACCTCCAACATAGAAAATATTCTTCGAAACTTGGAAATTATTATAGTTAATTGCTCATTAGATTGCAAGTTTTTCTATAGAAGGAAATGATTTTTTTGAATTCACATCATTATTTATAAAATTGTAATTAAATAAATTACAATTGAAAACATAATAAAGTCAGAAAAAACCTGATTATTTCTTTTAGATAAATACTTTTTATTTAATCGATTTGTCATTCAAAAAATTTGTATTAACGAGAAATCATATCCTTCAGCTACTAATATTATGTATTTAGGAACATTAAATCAAATCTGTGATAGTTTTGTTAAACTTATATTGTTATATTTATGAGTAATGAAGTATAAAAAGTAGAATGTTATGATCGCAAATTAAACCTTAACAAACCGTAATTCAATTGTAATTTTAATGATTGACCAAACAAAGGATCAAAAGCAATTTTTGCGATTGTTATATTTACTATTAAATTAGTTAACATATATTATATAATATAAATCAAATATATTTATGTAGTTAGTTATATGATTGATTATTAGTTAGAGAATTGTAGATTTTGTATTAGTTGAAACGGGGTTAATATAAGTTCATAAACTTACATAAAAAAATATTTCAAATTTAATATATTTGTAATCAAATATTTATGGAACCTATGCCTAATATTAGCACATAATTGAAACTAAATAAGATTAGTGCTAGTGATCATGTTTTTTTAATTTTTTAACACTTTTTTATTTTTATATAGAGGGATGTTTTTGGTCGCAAAAGAAAGCGAGACTTATGTTCTATTCCTACATACCAAGAAAGAAAATAGTAGTTTAGTTCGTCTACAATTTAAAAAAAAAAAAGTTTTTTATGTATATACAACTGCTTTTAAGTCTTTAAATGATGTTATTTGAATAAAACTATTATTAAAATACATTTCTGTGTTTTATATTTATTGATTAGGATACAATAATTTCTAAAGATACCAGTTCAAATACTGCACATAGTTAATATATATGTTCATTAAATAAAATACTTTTTAATAGGCATCCATCCAGATAATAAAATAGAAAGAAAACTGTTTCGAGTACCAATTTGACTCTTCATCAGTGGTCACAAAACACAAGTTATTAAGACAAAATTATTATTTTTGTTTATTTATTTTTTCGAAATATATATTCATTTTTTATTTTTTCACTAACATGTTTGTTGTGAAGTAATGTTTTCATTGATCATGCTTTCATTTGTTTTTGTGTTTTGATAACTTAATAACTTGTGTGTTTTGTTTCCACTGAGGAAGAGTCAAATTTTTTTCTTTCTATTTTATTATCCTGATGAATGCCTGTTAACAAGTGTTTTATTTAATCAATCAAAAATATGATAATTTTGCACATCACATTCGTCCTTTCTTATTATCATGTTTTTACATGATATAATAATAGTTCAATAAAAACATTTATTATTACCTGCAATTTTTCTAATTATTTTTATAAATCCCTTGTTGAAATTTGAAATAATTTTTCTTACAATCAATATTAATTTATCATGGACTTTCATAAATTAAGTCTTGTATCATGTTTATATAAATTTATTGATTAGAAAACCATCAGATCTTTTAATAAATACTGGTATTAAAATAAACTTATTTTTTGGGTGATTTATAAAATAATCAGCCACTGCAATATTTAAACAAGTCTTATCCTTTCCTCAAATTATTTTACCTAAATGCCTGTCTCATTTAATAAATTCCATATTTAAGAAAATACATTTATTTACTAAAACTATATTGCATATCTTATAAATGCTTTATATAGCTTTATTATGGCTGTTTCTTCATTAAGAATTACGATCAGTATATCGACCTATGTACAAATGTATAAAAAAATAAATTCTGCCAGCAGATATGATGAAAATTTTAAATATGTCAATTTTTGTTGTTATTCCAGATTATAGTTTATATGATATTTGTCTTTGCAAAGCATATTACCCATTTGAAATATCACTAACTGCAGATACCTATGTAAATACATGATGCATTAATACTATCTATAAAAATAAAGGCCTCGTTTATGTAAGGCAATAATATGGTTCAACATAAGCTCATTTTTCATAACTTTATCACAAATACTTATGAAGATTATAAAATATAATAAAGTATTACTAAAATAATTACATATAATAATTACAATTTCAACATTTAATATTTATTATAAAATATTTGATGAGAAATTTGGTATTATAATTCTAACTGAAATCTTAATATATTATAGATTTATCTTTAATTAATAATCTGGATTAGTATGTAAATAGTATAATTAATATATAAGATATATGAGAAAATAATATTTATATTGAGAATTTAAAATCCATAAAAAATAATAAAAACTGGTAATATTATAACTATAAAACAATAACTCAGTAATAATATATTAACACATGCATCCAAACAATTGAGATCATTCAGCAAAATGACCTTTGTAACAAATTCTTCCTCACATTATCTTGGACTACCTACACATTTCTAAATTTTAATTATTCACAGTCATAATGATTTATTTAAAACATCTAACTAAAATAGAGTCGACTATGTAGATAAAAGGAAATAAAAGGCATTTATATTCCTAAATGTATTATATAAATACATTTTGATCGGGTGTCACAGTCATATCAGTCATATATATAACACAATGCGTTAGTTATATTATGAACTAGCAATTTTAGGTAATATCTTTCGTGGAAGAGGACATGGACGTTTCAACAGCTCACCACCAATCATTGTGATCGGTTCGCTGGCATGATGAGAAACTAAATCACCTGAAACAGTCAATTCATTGCTGTAAGACTCAATATATTGAAGTTTCTCATGCTTATCAAATAAATTAATGTCAAAATGTTATAACACATCAACATTGATATTCATAACATTAACAACACCTTTTGAATTCTTTAATTTAAATAAATATAAATATTTCATTAATACATGTAAATAAAACCGTAATAATTCGAACCAGATATTGTATGAAAGATTACTGTGGAAAAAATCATTGATAAATGAAAAAATAAACAAATTTTTTTACTTACCAAGAGTTTTATGAGATAACTGATTATCTCCCAGGAACTGGTAATGGCCATTAGAGGCGTCTACTAAATAATGCTTAATCCTATCTTCAGCTTTGTAGCTAATTGCATATCCCCAAATACGTTCAGAGAGCCGCACCAGGAATGTCCCCATTTTCTCAACATTCAAGGCCTGTTCCGCTTCTTGTCGTGTTATCAAACCTGAATAAATTAAATTTATAAATAAATCGTCGGACAAAAGCATTGATCAATAATTTACCTATCCACGGAAATATATACAACCATCTTTTCAATAGTATTGAAATCACAAAAATTTTAAAACATGTTATGTACCTGTGTTATGAAATTTCTAGCAATACGTATATGTTTATTTCAATGTGCCATATTTGTTTATGAAACACTGATGAATTTTTGCGCAAAATAAATATATTATCAATTCATTTATTTATTATCAATAAACACATGCCACATTCTTAATGTGATATAAATAAATAATGATGTTTTTAGTAGTAAATTATTTAACTTTTGAAGAATACGAATGCAAAATAACGTCTTAGTGTGTTTTGAATTTTGTAGCAATTTTATTCTAAAAATAAAAAATCAAACATAAAAAATAAACATCTTAGAAAGAAATACCGTGAAACCACGACGACACCCTTCCATCACGCTCGATGCCCGCATTGCGTCGCACTTCTGTTTCGCGGTACCAGTCCAGAACAGCGCGGGCACTCGGCGGTCGTGGCATGCCTGCTTCGAGACTGCCAGGGGGACTGCTGGTACTCGAACTAGGACCTGAATTGCCAATTATGCCTGTAGTAGTATTACTGGCAGTGGTGCCTATAGTATTACCGCCATGTTGTTGCTGAGGTATTGTAGTCGCCGAGCGCCGGTGTTGCTCACGAGCGCGCCTCGCTATTTCGCGAATCTGAGTTTCTGCTTCTTTTGCTTTACGTTCTGTAAGTATATTGATATGAGAACTAATGCCGAGATCATATTATTCAGATCTTTATACATACAATAAAATCAACAAATCGACACCATACTTTTCATTAACCCATTCGAGACCGATTGCACACCGTGTGTGCAATTGCTTTCCGAGGCTATAAGACCAGTTGTACACCGTATGTGCAATAATAATAATGAACAATTATCAGTTATTCTGAGTGATATAGTCGTCGAGATAAGATTTTTTTTGAATTAATAGTATCATTAAATAAAGAACAACAAAAATAATAGGTGATAGGTAAAGAAAAACAAAATTTGGCATTGGGGTTAATTCGTACCAAAACAAAACAAAACATTTAGTTTGGAATTTTGAAATCCACTAATAATTATTTTAAGACCAGTGTGCTGTTTCCTAAAAATGTATTTACAAATTGTATTTTCTTTTTCATTACTGAGTTCCATTACTTTAATTCCTTTAGACATTTTTTTAAAAAATTATTTCTTGTTTATATTATTTTCTTCATTATTTTTTTAACTTTTTACTATTTCTTGAAAAATTTCTTCGCATTATATTCTGTTATTTATTATTGAAAGCAACATAACGATTTTATATTATCTAATTATTTTTAAAACAAATGTTTAACAATTTTAATGAAGTATTCAATCCGCTCCTTGAAATAAAAGTTTTCTGAGGAGCGAGTTGCACACACGGTGTGAAATCATCTTATGTTTTGCTTACGAATTGGATGATTTCTGTAGTGATCCAGTTTTTTTTATTAAAAATTAACAATATAAACAAATACACAATGTAAAACAAACAATATAAAAAAAAATCGCCATCTCAAATGGGTTAAAATTTTATCGAATGTTTAAACAATATCAATACTTTTCTTATCTGTTAAAAAATTCACAGATGAAAAAATTCACATAATTTGTAATATACTATAAATTTATGCATTGTAGTTTCCATTGTATATACAAAATAATATTGTATTAATAAATTAACCTTGTTCCCGCCAAAGTTGTTCTTGTCTTTGTGCGGCTTCTTCAGCTTCCTTAGCGGTTTCGGCTTGTTTCTTTTGGAGATTTTTGAAAATTTCAGAAGTTCGTTCGCCTATTACTCTGCGTTCCCACATCGCCACACGCTGCGCCACCCTATGAGGCTTATTTAGCGTCAGTTCCTATATTTTTATAAAAAAAACAAAGTGATTAAACTGGAACTATCCATAATATATACTTTGTAACAGGGATAAAATCAGTTTTTAAGCTAACAAGATATTAAACGCAGTTCGATAAAAATAAGGTTGTGTTTTAAACAACATGCTTAAAATAGCTGCTTAAATAGAATTTCCAATGAAAAAATAATTTTTAAATTTACAAGTTTATCTTTTTAGACAAAGAGTAGCGAAAGCTACTTGATATAAATTGATAGTCTTACCTGTAAAACATCTATCTTGCTGTCACTATGAAATGCAAAGTTTCCACTCTTGACATTGTTTTTAGGTGGCGTGTTATTAATTTGTCCGTTATTAATATTATTTGATTGAATCCAATTATAACGGTTATTCATTTCAACCTGAGAAAATTCAATGAATGTAAATTATCCATAAAAAGAAAATATTTAAGGCGATTTTTTCTATTATATTAGATTACATAGCTTATATATATATATATATATATATATATATATATATATATATATATACACCTAAGTCTGTTTTTACACGGAGATTGGTTCCAGAAGAAGCCGTGTAAAAAAAGACATTGATCTTATACAAAAATGGGTGATTTGTCCTAGTCTCTAAAACCTATTAAAATTAGTGAAAAACAAGAATTTTCAAGAACAAGAATTCATGTTTATTTTAATAATACCTAATTCCCCTAAATTAGTGCTATTCACATTTGCATTGACCAGTAAAAATTGTATGTACACGCTAAAGGGGAATTCACTTAAATCTTTATGCTAGTGTTCGCAAACTAACGATACTATCGATGGTTTCAGACTTTTTTCTTTCATAAATACTTTTTTGTGATATGAACATACTTCGCAAAAATTAAATTTGACAAAAAAAATTTAAGTACATAAAATTTCAAATCGTGCTAAATGGAATAAAATCGTGTAAAAAAATTAAAAATATTCAATTTTCAAACCGTGTTATATCAAAACCGTGTACAAAAAGACCGTGTAAAAACAGACTTAGGTGTACGTATATATATATTGAATGGTAGAGTCTTGGATTTGTGTATATTTTGTAGAGTTTCGAACAAGAATCCAAAAATAATACAAAATAATAAACAAGAAAAGTTTTTAAAAAACAATTTCTTTATTTAATTATTTGTTTATTGTCAACGTTTCGGAACTAGGTACGTTCCATCTTCAGGACATCTGTCAAGAAACATGATCTTGATGAGATTTAAGCAAACAATATGTTTAAGAATAGAAAATAGATTTTTCTTAAATAATAAATTAATTGTAACAAGTAATAATGTACAGAAATATGATAATATGATCAAAAAGAAAATGATAAAAATAAATGAGTGGATTATCAGAACAGGATATTAAAAATGATAGAAATTTTTTGAAAGTTATGGAAAATTTTTTTAAGAAAGGCTTAATGATAAAATTGAATTAATTACCTGTATGTTTGAATATACGTTAGCACTTTTTCACTAAACAAGAATTTTTGACAAAAAATGAATTTGTGAGTTATTTTTCCGCCGAATAGTTGACAACACTTTTAGTAATTTTGATTTACAAAAGTTAACTATTCGGCGGAAAAATAACTCACAAATTCATTTTTTGTCAAAAATTCTTGTTTAGTGAAAAAGTGCTAACGTATATTCAAACATACAGGTAATTAATTCAATTTTATCATTAAGCCTTTCTTAAAAAAATTTTCCATAACTTTCAAAAAATTTCTATCATTTTTAATATCCTGTTCTGATAATCCACTCATTTATTTTTATCATTTTCTTTTTGATCATATTATCATATTTCTGTACATTATTACTTGTTACAATTAATTTATTATTTAAGAAAAATCTATTTTCTATTCTTAAACATATTGTTTACTTAAATCTCATCAAGATCATGTTTCTTGACAGATGTCCTGAAGATGGAACGTACCTAGTTCCGAAACGTTGACAATAAACAAATAATTAAATAAAGAAATTGTTTTTTAAAAACTTTTCTTGTTTTTTATTTTGTATTATTTTTGGATTCTTGTTCGAAACTCTACAAAATATATATATATATATATATATATATATATATATATATATTAAAATTTAATTTAACTAGTGGAGCGCATAGCATCGTGCCTTAAGGCAAATTGCAGGAACTTCCCGTACCAAAAATTATTATTTTTTTAAAAACGATTAACATTTTTGAAAAAAAAATTACTTCTAAAAAATTAGATTCTTTAGAAACTAGAAATTTGACAAAAAATTACTTTTTTTTTAAAAAAAAATTTTTTTTTGAAAACAAAAAATTGTTTTGAAAAAAAAAATGTTTTCTTCATTTTGACATATTTTGGAAATTCTGAACTTTTTTTCAAAGCAATCGTACTGCTTGAACTGCATAGAGACGAAATGTCAAAGCGCGTAAGTGCAATGCCGCCGTCTAACGGATAAGCATTGGTACGGAACCCATAAAAATGTAAATAAATTTTATACTTATTGTTAAAATCTCTGTAAAATATCTGATAATTTGATGTGCATATGTCTTATGATCATTTTTGACCGCCAAATGGCATTTTTTTTACTTTTTTCATTAGATCTCCAAAACCGCTAGACCTGTCTTCATGAAAATCTGATCAATTCTTCATCTTGTCAATACAAGTAAAATGTTTTTTGAATTATTAATATCGGACGCTCCGTTCTCTTAAAAACTGAGTTACCATTTTTGGCACTTTTTGCCCCGTATCTTCGGAACGGCTAGACCTGCCTTCGCCATAAACTAATCAGCACATCTCCTTAATACGAATCAAGTGTTTTTCGAATTATTCAAATCGGTTGATCGGTGTTCCCGAAATAGTCGACGAAAATTTGTATCAGCACACACACACACACACAAACATACACACACACACATACACACATACATCCATTTTTTCGAAGGTATGCCAAAATATTCAGAAACCTTTGAAACGCAAAGATATATAAAAAAATTCATTATCGATTTTTTGCGATTACTATAACTTGCCCTACGGGCAAGGAAGTTAATAAGGAACTTATCAAATATTTATTATACGCTCATATGAGCAAGATATTTTTTAACAATTATTTTCGCATGAAACGTTCAGTTAATCAGATTAACTTATATCAATAGTACATACTTGTTTCTGTTCTACGGCGGAGATCTTTTGAGGAGGCGCTTTGGCTCTGAGCTCATCAACCGAACAATAAATCTCCATCGAATCTTCTATTCTCTCCGGATTCAATGATTCCTTCGCCTTGCTTTGTTCCGCAGCTAAATCGCATCGCATAAGCAGCTCGCCGAGTTCGGCTTCAACGGTGTGGCGTAACTGTTGCGCTTCCTGCTCCGCTTGCCGGCGTGCAGTTTCGCGAGCCTCCGCTTCCAAGATTTCTTCGATGCTCGGGTCATTTGGATGTTCTCCCATCACCCAAACCTAAAGATGAAAAATGCAGATTTATTTTATTTTGAATATTTAAGGAGCCTAGATTCTGCCGTAAAATAGATCAATGTTATGGCAGGGCTATGTTATGTAGCAGTTTTCATATAAAGTGGTACTAAAAACTGTCAAAATCCTATGAGGTTGCAGTGCAGCCATGCGTTTCAGATAGAAAACGCACAAATACCAAAAAAGGATGTTATCATAACTAGATCTTTGAGATATGGCTTGATAACATATGAGTAAAGTTGCATTTTATGTGTGAAACGCCTGATCGCACAGCAAATCCATGACACTTTGACAGTATTTAGAAAAATGCAGATTTATTTTATTTTGAATATTTAAGGAGCCGATTCTGCCGTAAAGTAGATCAATGTTATGGCAAGGCTATGTTATGTAGCTGTTTTCATATGAAAAGGTACTAAAAACTGTCAAAATCCTATGAGGTTGCAGTGCAGCCATGCGTTTTAGATAGAAAACCTAGAAAACGCACAAATACCAAAAAACGATGTTATCATAAGTGAAGTTGCATTTTATGTGTGGAACGCCTGATCGCACAGCAAATACATGACACTTTGGCAGTATTTAGTAGCATTTTGTATGAAAACTCGAACATAACATAGTCTTGCCATAACATTAGTCTATCAATTTTACGGCAGAATTGATCCATAAAACTGTGAATTCAATAAAATCCATCTCTTTTTTAATTTTTTTTTATTTATTGGCCTTGCTAACTTGAGCATTTAGCCACCTACTACAAAATCGATCCTTATAAATATAAATTTTCCCTACGTATAAGAGATATGCGGACGAAATCTCTTCTTGCTGCTTTTAATAAAGCTTCCTACTGATTTAGTTGAACAATAACTTGAATAAACATGTAATATAAAAACTGCAAATAGTAATTACATTAAAATGAACGAGATTAGGCCCTGAAAATCTGCCGAATAGTTGCCAAATATTCGGTATTCGGTCTCTGGGGCATGCCGAATATTCGGTATTCGGTATGTTGCGGTAGGCTTATCTTAAACGTATATATAAGGGCAGTAAAAATTGTAATAAACATGAGCTGTTGTTTAACAAATAGATCAATACGCAAAAAAGTATCTTTCAGATTATACCGTATAACTTATACACTTTATCCATATTAATGACAATTGGCATGGATATATGTAATAAGTAATAATGAAAAAATGTGCGTAGAGTGCTAATCCTTTCCACTCGAATGCCCCGCTCTGTCGGCAAAATTCATATAAAACTCGGAATTCGCAAGTGGAAAGGGTTGAATTTAATTTAATCCAGTAGCTGGATGAATAAAATTTAATTTTTAAGAGTTTTTGATCATTATCAATAAAAATGTATTTAAACATTGAAAATAACGTTTCTGAAGAATTAAGAATTACAATAACAAATTACAATTCCCACAAATTTAACTCAGAGTAATAAATATAAAAGCAAGATTTGTCACATTGGTTGTCGTCTATAGGCGACTCTTATAGCCAAAGCGTTAATAAAGTATTAAAAATAATTTGCGACGTACTTTGTATAATTTTATATGAGCACAAGCCGTGTGTTAAATGTCATTATATAAACCTTTCTATCAGATTTAAGATTGATTGTACCACGGTGCGAAAGTCAACATTGTTGTTAAAATTTACTAATCTAGTCATATATCTCAATAAAACTTGCTTAACTTATTTCCAATTAGTGCAGATCTTTTCTCCACCGAAATATGATAACATGATCATTAGCTTTTCTTTAAAAACCCATTTTATACATCTATAGATGATGTCCGTAACAACATATTCATAGTTTATAATTTTACTTTTTATTCATGTTGTATATATACATACCACATTGAATAAAAAAGTCAAAAAATATATTTACCCAAGGTTCGCCATCTTCGCCTTTTAAAAAACTAACGTTCTTTCCACGTTTGCTTGGCTTTCGTTCCTTTTTCAATGCACCTCCACAAGCCCATAATTTTGCTTCCTGTTCCTCGCGGATCCGCCAGCGCCTGACTTGCTCCTCGCGCATTCGACAGAAGAGTGTCTGCTTCTGGGTGTCATCGAGCTCCGCTAAGATCTCCGGATCTACGTGCATATCACGTAATATCTGCTGCAACATCTTTATTGGTGTTTTGTATTTTTACTGGTGCTGTAAACAATATACAAATAATTGCTAAAAATATATAAGATATTGTTTCAATATTAAAAATACACGCTAATATTCCAAAAACGTCCTTAAGCATAATAATAAATTTATGAAGAAAAAAAACAATTTTAATTAACTATAACCGGTATAAGGATTCAACAAAAAATAGTTTTTAAATAATTCAGATGTAAGTAATGAGTGAACATGATTGTCCAGTTCTTAGCTTTTATGCAACTGACAAATTTCAGAAACAAACGAAAACTCAAGAAGAGTATAATTAGACAATAAATCTCAATACTTGCTCCACTTTTATAACAACAGCACATGGTTTATTCAAGTAAGATAAGATAATAAATCAAAATTAATATGTAGTTTGTTATATACAATCGCCCAAATTGACAGAGTGAGTCCTTTTAGAACTATACAGCATACGTCCTTTGAATTTGTTAATTTCATAAGTGATACTATCGAAGGCTTTGAAAAATCAATAAGATATAAAACTCTTTCTCCATTATATCTTTCTTTTTATATCTTCAGCAGTTTAGAAGAAAAATGATTTTCAAACCCAAATTCCATCAAACCATGATCTTTAATAAATGTCAATGACTTATTCAATTGACAAAGAATAGATGGAATTTAATAACTAATATTTGCGGATGGTCGTGTTGAATAAAAGTGTTTTATATCATAGAATAAAAAGTTATATTTATTATTCTTGGAAAAGAACTTTAATAGTATTCAGTTTTATTGAATCATAGATATTGAAAAAGTATAAATAGTAATTTTCGATAATTCGAGATGTATTGTTGTCGCGACATTCGGCGTCCTCGCTTGTCAAAATTCACTTTATTGAGTATCAGGGTCATCTACGTTCGGAAAGATTTAAATGTCAGGAGATGATATTAATGCGGAAGGTCTACGATACTTTGGACATTAATGTAAATAATATATTTTAAAATATATCATAAAATCGAATATAAAATACCATTATGTCACCACTTACACTAAATATTTTTTAAAATTTTACAATTTTTTTTTTTGATAATTTACTTAAAATTTTGAGATGTCAAATCACATTTGTTTAAAATCAAACCTTCATTTTGTTTTGCTAAAATAGTGAATTCAATATTATAATATCTATATATATATATATATATATATATATATATATATATATATATATATTTAAGCACAATACTTGCAAACAATTTTTACCTTTGTTTTTTTATATCATTTTTATTATTTTCTTTAGTTTGAATTATTTTATATTATATTTTATTTATAGAATACTTTTTTATTTTGTTTATTTTTCTCGTAGGGTAAGTTATAGTAATCGCAAAAAATCTAAAATGGAAGTTTTTATATAGCTTTTGTTTCAAAGGTTTCTGAACATTTTAGAATAGCTCATTGTTAGAAATATAGATGTATATGTGTGTGTTTGTATACGTGTACGGATATAAATTTTCGTCGACGCGATTTCGAAAACACACATATTGAATGATTCAAAAAACATTCGATACCTTTTAATGAGAAAACGTGTTGATTAGTTTTTGGCCGAGACAAGTCCAGCCGTTTCGAAGATACGGGGCAAAAAGTACCAAAAATGAAAAATCAGTTATTGAGAGAACGAAGCGTTCGATTTCAATAATTCAAAAATCGTTTTACTTGTTTTGATAAATAAAGAACTGATTACATTTTTAGAAAAGCGGGCCTAGCGGTTTCGAGGAACAGGTGAAAAAAGTAAAAAAAAACATTTGCCGAAAAAATATTTTACAAATATTTTATAGAGATTTTAATAATAAGTGTAAATTTTGTTTACATTTCTATGGGTTCCGTACCAATGTTTATCCGTTGAACTGCGGCGCGGCGCTCGATATTTCTTCTCAAATATTCTTTCTTCTATATTCAAAAATATTCAAAATATAAAAAAAATCAAAATTTTTCAAAATACTTTGAATAGTTTTGAAAAATTTAATAATTCTTAAAAATCTTATTTCTTCAAAGTTTTCAAAAAAAATAATTTTTTTTAAAAATTTTGATTTTCGATAGTTCCAGCAATTTGCCTTAAGGCACGATGCCAAGCACCACAAGTTTTACATTAAATTTATAGAATACTTTTGTATATTCTCTATACTTTTGTATATTCACTTCACTGTTTTATCAGTTGTATTAAAAGATTGTTTCTGTCTTAATTGATTAAAATAAATTACTATAATAAATCAATCAACTTCAGTCACTTCCCTTGTGAATTCTAAAGATGCTTGCGTCATTTTAAATTTATTTTTATCAATTATTATAAGAAATTAAATCAGTAAGTAATTTCTATTTGAAAATTTTTATATACAACAATAAAAATGAATAATTTGATAATTTGATAATTTTTAGATAATTCATTGTGAATATCGTGGACAATGTTTAGTAAGTATCACAATTAGGTAGAGCCCGATAATGTTCAAAACAAGAACTGGAGCAGTAGCACTCTGTCACTTTATTTGAAGCGCACGTACCTACACAACAAGATATTCGCAAGCCGGTTTTAAAGATTTTTAAAGTTACAATTCCTACTTCACAATCGACAATCTAAAGCTAAATGCATGCAATATTGTCTGCACCAGGGGAACGAATCATTAAACAGAAAATTATTAAAAACTTCAATTATTTTCTCTATTTGAAAATGATAATTAAAAAAAATAACACAAGACAGATATAACAGCTTCATTGCGTTTAAAATTAATAAGCCAATGTGATACAATAAATATAATAAATATTTTTCATCCATGACCAAAGCTATAACATAACTAATTAACAAAGCTATATACAAGATGCATAAGTGAAAAGAATATCATGAATTTTGATTACTAATATAATATACATTCATTTTTAAAATTGTTAAAAATTAATTTATCAACTTTCCAGATAAATTATAGTAACCGCAAAAAAAATTAAAAATAAAAGTGTTTATATAATTTTACGTTTCAAAAACTTCTGAATATTTTGGCATCTATTAGAAAAAATGTATGTATGTGTGTATGTGTGTGTGTGCATATTCGGATATAAATTTTTGTCGACAATTTCGTGCACACGCATCAACCAAGTTGAATAATTCATTCGATTCGTATTGACAAAGAAACATGCTTTTAGCCAAAAACATTTTATTTGTATTAACAAAATAAAAAACTGATTAAATTATTTGAGATGGCAGGTCCAGCGGTTTCAGAGAATCTTGCTTTAAAAAAATCCAAAATATTTTAAAATATAAAAAGAACAAATTTTTCAAAAAAGTTAGTTTTATTCCAAAAATTATATAATTCTCAAATATCTCATTTCTTCAAAGTTTTCAAGAAAAATAGAATATTTTTTAAAAACCTTAATTTTCGGTACGGGAAGTTGCAGCAATTTGATGACACGACGCCATGCACCACTAATTTGTATTTAATTTCTAAGCTTGTTTATTCTATGACAATTAAATTACATACCGCGCATTACTTTTTTATTTTGAACAGCAATCAGAACTTAAAGATGCCATGGGCTGTTGTGCTGATAGTTCTTAATTACAAATGCATCTCAACGATAATACTGATGATACATTATCAATCCAATGCAGTAAAGTCAAAAAAGAGCTACTTTTACTTACTATTTTGAGTGGAAAAGGATATCACTACTGCTTGATATCAAAATAGAAAAAATAAATTGGATACACTAAATCCGCCCTAGGGTTGAAACGCCAAAGTTCTTACCACACAACCACCGTGGAAACCAATAAATCACATACCATGCCTAAAATTAATGTTGCAAATAGAGTATAAATCGTGGATGTGCATATTTATGCATATCTAGTAAAATAAAGCATCAACCAAACAAATAATTCAATACTATCAAGTTCAAGAAAATTGTTATGCGTCTATAAGCGTTTTTAACGATAAACGTTTTCAACAAAATTGATAGAATGAATCAAAACTCAGCATTGCAGTTTATTCCATAATGAATAATCACAAACAAACATGCAAAAAATGAAATGATTGCAATATATGTTATAATTAATTCATAAAATAGATTGTGCACGTGCTTAGCATGACATGAGCCAGTTTTCTCTGCGGCGACGTAGGTCTAACCATAAGATTCTAGGAAATATAAATAGTATACAACAAGACTTTTTCTAATGTTCGCACCGCATCGAAAGCGAATAGTACCTACATAAAAACTTTTCTTTTAGATTCAATGGATGTTTATTCTTCACCTTAATTGCTTTTTCTTTACTACCCATTATTTGATGTAATAAATAGCACTTTTTCCATTCATTTAAACATTATACTAACACTCTCAGTGGATTCGATAGCTGTAGCAATATTTTACAATACTATTGGCAAACATCTTGTACAAAAAACAATGGTGATATCGCTTGTATTAGATCGATCAATATATCAATAATAGATATATTTCACCAAAAACAACTTCTCAAATATATTAATTTATCTGTGTTATTTAATTCTAACAAATAAGAATGATAATGAATTTGATTTCAACCAAACATGTTTTCATATTTTGACATGATAATATTATGCAAAAGGCGCATTTTTATTATTGGACATTTTTACAGTAAAATATAAAAGCTATTAAAAGTAATAAGATTTGCATTCACGACACTTAAACCACTGAAATAAAAAATGCCGACAATGGAAAAATAGGAAATTCTTAAAGAAACCTTAAATTTTTTAAAACTTTATACATTTCATTGAACAAAGGTTGTTGAATTGACTTTTACGCAGCTATTTCCGCAAGAGAGACACTGCTATACAGAATAGCGTCCGTACTATTAAAGGGACCATGCAAAACAATATATTTCAAGATATTTAAATCATTTTTGATAAAAATGTATTCACATTTCTAAAACACTAAAAGATATAATAAAATAATTGTTAATAATTTAACTCAGTAATAAGTAAAATAATTGTTAATAATTTAACTCATTACCAGAGTGATAAATTTTGAGGCAAAACTTGGAA